AAGGATTAATCACTCAATTCACCATGCCACTAGATCCTAGCAACGATGCAAAGTTAGATTACTCGAGTGGCACTAGATAACCGATATGCAAACAAGTTTGCCTCTCTTAATAGTACGGCCATCTATCCTAACCCCGGTCATAAACTTTTTTACACACCTATGACCGGTAAAATGAAATGTCATATATATTATACCTTTGCCTTGTGCATTCCATTCCATCTCCTCCATTATTGATGCAACATATGCACCAACCATATCACAAATGAAATAATCCACTTCATATCATCACGTGACCGTATTGGTTCATCGATCTTGATTTCACTTGCTCTTCACCGTTGCTTCGGTCCATCGGCGCCAAGTCATCACTCAACTTGCCCTTCACACTTGCAACCGGCCCGTCGAGTCAAGTCTTGTCTTGATCTTCTCCACTTTAGTCACATGACTCCGTGTCATGTCTCATATGAAATGAGCTCCTTCATCACATGTATGAGCCTTGCAACAAATCCAAGCCATCTTCACAGTCATGGCATGAGTTGCTCATACAAGTATACATGTGGACTAATCACCTGTATATCTCACATTTAAACACATTAGTCCACCTAAATTGTCACTCAATTTCCAAAACCAAACTATGGACCTTTAAATTTTGAAGTAGTTAATTAAGTCCCATCCAAATTAATCCTCGTTGGCTTAATTGGTTTGACTTGACTTGGGGAAAATTCTGAATTCCATGACAAGAACCAGTAGACGCGAAAATCCTCCGAATCCACTTCTCATTGGTTCCAGCCGTCCAGAAATTATGATTTTAACTCCGATCCAGTGCGATATTAAACGTTCTTGCAAAACAGTCCTCTGATTACGGACGGTGAGAACGTTTTTTTTCTCTTTTTTTGCGCATGCAGAGCAGCGCGCCAAGCATACCTTTGGCCTGCAAGTTCATCAATGTTTGTGTTTCCAAGTTTCAAGCCTGCGTGTCCTCCCTCTCAAATCCTGGGACGATGCTCCTCGTCCTCGTTTTGGTGCTGGTAGTGCTCCCACTTGCTGCTGCTGCTCTACTTCCGGCCAGCAGTTGAGAGTTCCTAGTTCGAACCCCCACCTCCCCGCTTCTGTGTGTGTTCCAAGCATGGTTAACTGAATCTGTGTGGAGTTCGGTCCTATGTGGCCGACAGCTGGTACCACTTCTTGTGAGGCGCGAACGATCCGCTCTGCGCAGCGACCGCTAAAATCTTTGCCGCTTGTTGAGAGAATTCCTTATTTGACATTGAAAAAATGAGTCGTTCATTTTTTGGTTCTGAAATTTTCTTTGTTCCTTATTTGACACTCTCTTCAATTTTCATCCCTAATTTGACACTACCGTCAAATCCGTTAGCTAACGGTGTTAACTGGCTGTTAAAAAGACGTTTTTGCCCCTAGAAAAAAAAAGCGGCGAAGCAAATTTGAGAGGAAAAAAAAACCTGCGCCTTTTTTTGCAGTTGGACGCATGCATCAGAGGCGGACACAGGTTTTTTTTTCCTCTCAAATTTGCTTCGCCGCTTTTTTTTCTAGGGACAAAAACGTCTTTTTAACAACCAATTAACACCGTTAGCTAACGGATTTGACGGTAGTGTCAAATTAGGGATGAAAGTTGAAGTGAGTGTCAAATAGGAAACGAAGAAAATTTCAGAGCTAAAAAAGGAACAACTCATTTTTCCAGTGTCAAATAAGAAATTCTCTCATGCTTCTTCGGTTTGCGGCTCGTTGAATTTCCTCTTTCCCTCCTCTTTAGTTGTTTCAGCTTGTGGGCTTTTGAAAAAAAAATCTCTTGTCCTCTTATTGAGGCTCTCATACTCTATGGGTTGCCCGGCCTCAGCTACTGTCCTTCCTTCTGCCCGCCATGTTTTTTCCTTTGCAGCATATGCTATAGGGACTAGGTTGTGGAGGTACATGTTCCTCCTCTTCGCTAGATGAGAGAACTTCTCACCATTGGCCACAGATTCGTCGCTGGTACGGCCTTGGACGAACCGTTCCGACTGTTCTTGTGTGATGAACTTTTTCCTTTTTCCTTCTTGATGTACTTGTCGTTGAGTTTCCACCTAAATTGACGATGGGATTTTGCACACGTACTCAGCGCGTAGCCCTTGATCAGCTCTTCATTGGCGCCCGGTGGGTATGTCAACCTCCTCTTAATCTCTTCCCACACATGTTCCTTGAGACGGTTTGGGATGTCCTTCCATTCGCCGATGTTGATGTCCACCTTCTCCTTGATGACTGCTCTACAAGCATTACTGAATTTAGAGACCACGAAAGCTGGCTTGATGGGCTCTGCTTCGTCCCTGACCTCGTGTACATACACCTTTGTATGCAGCTAGTGTCTACCGTGCTGGCTAGGTGTGGACCATTCTGTTAACGGGGCTGGGTGTTGTTCTTGTGTTTTAAAATTGAGAAATGCTATTAAATTTAGTTTTCTTTTTGAAAATTTTCAAGAAACCTCAGATGGAGATGACATGCTTTGGTATGTATCAAATTTTCGCTATATAGTTCTCAGAATTATCACTAGGGTACATGTTGCATGTTGTTTTATTTGGATCTCGGCTAATAATCACATGGTTAGTCTTTTGGGTTCACATGTATGGTTTGTCCTCAAGCACTATACCACAACCAATAACGCTATACCGACTGATGATCGGTCGCTATAATGCTATACCGGCTAATGCTATAGCAACTGTGTGCCGGAAGCCAAAATGTGTCGATGGTGGTGGCAGCAAGGAGATAAGATAAGCTTCCATAAAGAGAATGATGGGTGGGCAACTGAAAATAGTTCGTGCACGTGTGGGCTAGGCCGAAGGCGCCAAAAGAAAAATGGGCTATACCGACTGATGGTTCGATCAACTCCAATACGTATTTTTACCAACCAATCCTCCGACGTCAATTCTAAATATATCTACCAACCGATGAAAAGTCGGTATAAGTGGAAATAGCGGCCAATGATCTGTTAGAAATTTGTACTGATCAATCGTTCGTCGTTATTGTTCTCCTTTAGCGACCGTTGTCTAACACTAATTTTTGTCTGTGGTATAGTGAAGGGGCAGCCGTGGGCGCCTAGCATGGATTCATGACACGTGTCTATGTATAATCGTCTAATACATGTAACAAATTTTCTTTCCAATAGCTCATCCTCAATTATTATGCAGCAGTCACGTGCGCTGAATGTTTACGCGTAGACACACATGTTGTGAATTCGTGGCAGGTGTCCATAGGCGCTCCACGAGGATAGTCTCCGATCCATTGAATTTTCCGCCATGATAACAGCTTGTTGTACGCTTGATAACTTGTAAGGTGAGCTAATTGCACCAATTATGTCAACATGTACTCTGTCCTGACTGTTGAAGATCGATCGAATGGACCTGATCGTCCATGCAATACCGCTGCAGATTACTGTTACTACCAGGACGATGCTCTATTCTTAGTCTCTCTCTCTCTCTCTCTCTCTCTCTCTATATATATATATATATATATATATATGTGGTGCCCAAGAGCACCTTTCTCTATATCCAAGCAAGGTCCCAAGCTATCCAGCTAGCTAGCAATGGCAAGACACAGCGCAGCTGCCGGCTTAGCCGCCTAGGCCGCCGTCTTGCTCTTGTTTGCTGGCCAAAGCGTAGCGATCTTTCCATTCGCAAACTTCTTCCCTGTAGACTATGTGCCACCGACGACGGTGAGGATATTCATCAGTGACAAGCAGCTCTCGTTGAACGTGGCCATTCGCAACGGTGAAGTTGTCCTCGCCACAGCCAACTACGATCACGGGGACAATACACAGGTAAGGATCTGCTAGCTCACAGCTCTTGATGGATCGACGGACAGTTGGGCACGTTCGGCTAGCTGTACATTTATGACTCCAAATACGTACGCATGCATGCACATATACTACATGTATATCTATGTACATTTGTGCTTTGATGCTGCTACGGACAGATATGGTGGAAGATCCCCCCTGTGACGAGCATTATAGATGGAGAGGGAGACAAGTATTGGCTGGTGAACGTCGCTACGGGACAGGCCATCACGAGCCCAACACAAAGCGGTCAGGTACGTATATATAGCTAGCTAGCTAGTACTACATATGTACAATATGTGTATATATACTAGGGGTATATAATTTGCTGCTGCTGAGTTAGTGTTTGACTGTCCAATAATAATGCTAATATATATACTGTATATATAAAACCTGCAGGTGCAACTGGCACAATTCACCCCTCTTTCCAGCACTGGCAGGCAGCTGTGGGTGCCAAGCCCTCCTCGTCCTCAGGACGCTGGCTTCTACCAGATAAAACCATACATAGATGATTCCATGGCCCTCACTGCATTGGACGGCGACGTACACGACGGGACCAAAATCGGCATCAATTCTTCAACCCCAATAGCTTCCAACAACTTATGGATGACAGTCAATGTCGTCGTCATCCCCTAGACGTCCTAATTCTCCACAACCATGTACGTATATATGTACATGTTTAATTAATTAATCTCCGTCTCTCTGACTCTAACTCTCACTACGTCAAAAAGGGTTTTTAGGGGCACTTGAAGACCATTTGTAGGATAATTTGGCTAGCCACCTCTACCCAACCGTCTCTACAAATTATGTATTTATAGGGACGGTTCCCAGACCGTCCCTACAAATTGATTTGTAGGGGCAGCTGATAACACCAGCCGCCCCTACAAATCGATTTGTAGGGGCGGTTACAGTATCAACCGCCCCTACAGTGTATTTTTCACCAAAAAAAATTTAAATTACCAACACGTGCTCCCCCAAATCATCCTGTGACGAGTAAAATACATGATCAAGTATCCTGACAAACTTAACTGTAATATTGTGGTCCAAATAAGATTGTTTAGCTAAAAGTTTCTAAATATCTTCTATAGTACAAGAATCACAGTAATAACAAATCTAATTCTGACCTAAGAGTGGGGCATATATATTATACAGGTGCAGGGCAGGAGCAGGAAGCATGGCTGGACAGTCAAACTCGAGGGAAGCGAGAAGGTCCTCTTCGTCGAAGGAACTCTGGGATCTCCACCATGCTGCCTTCTGCGGAGGACGGGCGTCGGCCATTCTCACCTTGCTGGCCACCCTTTGGTTGCGCAAATGTGAGAACAAGTATGACATCCAAGTTAGGGGGCCCTAGTAATTGTTCGACAAGATTTACCTTAGATGCGCGACCTTCTGGTTCATCCTGCCGTTTGAAGCCAGTAGCTATCAAGGTTATGCTCATCTGCATGGACAAAACTATGTGAATAAGAATTTTTTCCAACAAACCCCAAATGACGAAGTAAATCTCATTTCTCATTTCCCAGAACTGAGAGCATTTTCCACGAAATCCCAAGATATAGGAGTTGTTTTTTGCATATTGGGTATACTATACTGAAACAAACTGAAGACTTACTTGCCCACTCAGTGACGGGTCTATGACAGCGCCAAATATCATATTAGCATTTGGATCAACAAGGTCGTAGATAATTTCGGCCGCAGCATTTACCTGAAACAACAAAAATACAAGTAGCTGTGATTTCTTAATCTGTGCATATAAAACATAATAGGAGTTGATCATGAATTTTTTTTCCAGTCTTTTGAAACATGAAAGGGCAAGCAAAGTCAAATGCAAAGCATGCTCAATTTTGTCATGTTAGCTAGATGGGGACTACACAGGTTAACAAAATTCAAGTCAGAAAACAAATCTACACTGTGAGGACAAGACTAGAAAATGGCTGGACCAAACCTCAAACAAAGTCAGGTCAGTTCCCCCAGTGATATTCCACACAATGCCCGTAGCTCTTTCAATTCCAATATCAGCAGTGGCGACTGGATGGCATTAAGAGCAGCATCCCTTGCTCTTGACTTTCCTGAAAAAATTGAGTGGCATGAAACATGAGCTTACAGGTATAATTCAACCGACATAAATGACCTTTGCATGTATATAAGTACAAAAATTGCAGTGTAGCGCCAAGCAACCTAAACTTAAATCATTGCTCTCAACATGACAAGTATCATCAATAGACATATTTTCGTGCAAATATCAAAGTGGTTCTCATGAAAAATTTCAGTAGCAATATCCAGGCAATTAACTTTGCATATTAGCTGACACTAACTGCAAGTGGGAGGAAACATTCAATGCTGTTTAGTTGATGCCAAAGGGAAAATAAAATTTGGAAGCTATACCAAACCTAAAAGATTCAAGTTATGATAGGATATGAAGTACTCTTACACGAGTCTTACATACTCTGTTCAACACCAAACTATACCAACCGACTTCTTTCTCTAGCAATGCTTCTCCTACCTTATTGAATCAGAAATTTTGCCAACAAGCAGGGTAAATAAAACAGAATTCTAGCTTGCAGAATGAATGGAGTTAGATCATACGGTACTAATAAAATAAAAGCTTATTCCTAATGTAATACCTGTAGCAGTCCCTATACCCATCAAAGATGACCCTGCATTTTGCATGATAGCACGCACATCAGCAAAATCAACATTAACCAATCCAGGAACCTGAAAAAGGAGAAGAGGTAGTTAACCTTTTGTAAATTAAATATCTCTGAAATGCTCAAACATAATATCTTGAATTTCACTTGTGTAACTTGGTGATTTAAAACTGAATATCAGCACCATATTTACCGTAATTATATCAGATATGCCACGAATGCCTTGGCGACGAATATCATCAGCCAGATTAAATGCTTCAGTTACAGGTGTATTTGGAGAAATAGCAGACAATAGCTTACATTTGGGATGACAAATGCTCCAGTTCCTCCACCCATTCCTGCCTGCAGTATGGATCAAAACAGCATTGTCAAAACTCGGTGCCTAATGATTTCACATGTGAAGCCAACTATCAGTTAGAATTTAACAACTATTCAATTTGTAGACAATATTGTTGACAGTTGACACTAGAAATAAACCATTCATTATGATTTCTCCAATAAAAACACACTAGACGAACTTTTCCCCTACTTATCGTCAGATGTGTGAAAATTCAATGGGCAATATATGACAATAAGTGGTCTACAGATCCACATATGGGCTTGCAACAGAAGGGAACATCAGAATCATGATTTTGAGGACCAAACCCTTCTTAGCAAAAATGAACTCATATGCAAAGATTAAGCTTATATACCAAAACTAGCCATAAGATCTAAGCGAACGAACTAGCCTGAGTTTCTATCACGAATCCCATAGCAATCGAACAGATCTAAGAGCCACGCGCACCATTCCGACACAAAGAAATCTGCATCTACGGCTACTTGAGCTCAGATCTGATCCTCTAAGGCCGCGGTGGAGGGGGGGGGGGTCGCTCACCTTGCTTGTGTCCGACGCCCTTCTCGACCGTGTGGCACTGCGCGTACTTGGTCTTGAAGATTTTCTCGCCCGCCTTGGGGTTCCTAGGGGGAGCCTCCGAGAACGACGCCATCGCCGCAGGCAGATATCTGAGTCTGAGCCGACGGAGAAGAGGAGGAGGCCAACCGCAACTTCTTCGCCTCCTTGAGGAGCTTCATGGAGCAGACAAAGAGACAGGCACATCCGGAGAGAGAGATCAAGACAGAGGGAGAGGCAGAGGAAGAGACACGCATCTAGGGTTTCATGGAGCAGACGAGATGTCGCATCGGGGGCAACCAAGCCGGCGACCACCGGTAGGCGCCGTGCCCTGGGACGGCAGCCGTTGGGGCCCCCGTAGCCAGGGGCGGCCACCCACCACCCGCTGCACCGGCGACTTGGCCAGGGCCGCCGTCGCCGCGCCCCTGCGGCGCAAGGGGGGAGGGGGGAGGGGGCGCGAGGGGGGAGAGGCATGGAGGAAGAGGAGGGCGGCTGCGGCGTCCGCTGGCCCGCTCGCGCCAGCAGCCGTCGCCCTGGCTGCTGCTCGCGTCGAGAGGGGGAGAGAGCGTAGAGGAGAGAAAGAGAGGGGAGGGGAAGATACTTTTTCACTGTGCTCTGGAATATATACTCAGAGTTATTTGTAGGGGCGGCTGGTGATTGAGCCGATCCTACAAATAGAAACATCGGGGGCGGCTGGTGAGTGAGCCGTCCCTATAAATCAGACCCATTTGTAGGGGCGGCTCGTATCACCAGCCGCCCCTGCTGTTCCATTTGTAGGGACGGCTGATCTCTGGGCTTCCGAGCACGCCACTGTAGGGGCGGCTCCATCACCGACCACCCCTAAAAAAATTTTGCCCCGTTGCTACAAATATTTTTTCACGTAGTCTCTCTCTCTCTCTCTCAAATTTGTAGATCCATCTATCTCATGGGTTTTAGTTCTGTTTTATTTGCTTTTATCCGCAGGAAGGACTCGCTGAACATCAAGGGCCTCGCGCGCTGTGTGCTTGTTGCTGCATGATCAAGAATGAAAGACACTCCTTTACAAAATATATATGTTGCTTCATTCTGAGCTTGTATCCACCTTAATTACTTGTTTTCGACATATATAATATAATAAATAAAACACACACGCCTATGATATATACGATAAGACAAATGTATTCTCTATGCTATGCCTTTTTTTCCTTCAAAGGATTATATGTAACTGCATGCCTGATTAGCATGCAAGCGTATAACATCTATTCATGTCACACACAGCTAGGGGTTAGAACGCCCTGAGGCCGTTTACAGACTAGATACACAATGGAGTAGACCAAAACAGCGAGGACGACCAACGGGTTGACGAGGCCAATTTGACGCTAGATAGTTCTTCGCCCGAGAAACCAACGAACACCTCCCGGGAAGACCCATTAGGAAGACACATAGTGGGGGTATCCTAAGATGAGCAAGACCACCTAGAACGCAACAAATCTCGTTGAGAGAGGCACTGTACAACATGAGGTTGGAAGAACTTGAGGTAGAACATAAAAAGTAACATATGTGCTTTTGTCGATTGGGTAGATGGAGATCTCTCCATCGGTTGTGATCCTCTCATATAGAGGGGGTGGTCTTATCCTAATAGAAAACCTATTCCACACGGAATCTACAAGCTTCCCATGAGATTGGATGAGTTTCTAAACAAAAAACATGTTTTGAGGTTTGGACTACCAAAATTGGACACACATCTTTCAAAGAATAAGTGAGAAATTGATTCAGTTTCAGCACAGAACATACATGATGGATCGATCACTAACATCCCTCCTTTTTGCTAGATTATCTCTAGTTAGGAGTCTATTGTTAGACAATAACCATAAGAAAAATTGAACTCTAGGTGTGATTTTAAGTTTCCAATTGAATTAACAAAGAGTCAAAGACTAGGATAACCCCCTGTAACTAATTACTGTATAAGCGGATATTGAACTGCTTATGTTCCTATTGAGGTAAAACTCCACGTTATTTGGTCTTCCTCGTCAGAGAGGGAAATTCCTTCCACTAAGCTAACTCCCACAATAGATTCATGAGTCTATATATCTGGAACACTTCTTCTAAAAGTTAGCCTCAAGTTTTGGCCATCCCACACCTTATCTAAAGTTCTACTTTGCTGCTCATTAATCAGATAAAGAGGCCAATATATAATGTTAGGCTGGTATTACCAAGCCAATGGTCTTGACAAAATCTGACCTTCTTTCCATTTCCTACAACCCACTTGATATCCATAATATGGTCTGCTTGCATTGCCCAAAGCACCCCTTTCCATAAGGGAGAGAAACCCACGTCTGGGCAACAAAGCACATTAGGATCTTTAGTTTTGCTTCATTTTTGTTTGAATTTTCCAGAGTTAAATGCTCCAATCTTTTATATCGTCCCACTCTAATTTCGTTGCATTGAACGGTTTAATCTGAATAAAATTTTCCTTCGTTAACATTCATCCAAAACAAGTGTTTAATTTGAAAGATGAAGCTCTGCTTATCTGAACAAACCTTTATACATTTGGGTATTATTAACATTGGTATATAAAAACAAACAAGTGAATACAGTATGTACTAGTGTATTAGCAGCAGCAATGCCTGTGAAAAGAAAAACGAGACACGCTTAGCAATAAGGATTAGTACATGCTTATTAGCGAAAACCTTAAAAAGCACCTATAGCAATATTTTTAGTCATCATCATCATCCTACAGGACCAAGGAGACGCCTGATCATTCAGATTCAGAGAAAAGGCTCTCACGGTCACGGCTTGGCCATGTCCTCGGCGAACTCGGAGTCCTGAGCACGGCCATCGACCACCACGGAGACCGGCACCTCGTCGGCGTTGCTCATGTCGTGCTGCTGGACCACGAGCACCGACGACGTCACCCCGTGGCCAGACGACGCAAGCGCGTCGTCGGTGGGCCCGAGCTCCGAGTGCTCTGCCGGGCGGACGGCGAGCTTCGCCACCATGGCGGACGGCAGCCGGCCCCACCGTGGAGGAGGTGTAAGCCATCAGTGAGGAGGAAGCCTTCTCACTTCTCAGAGGACCTGATGTTTTTCATGGCAACCTCCTCTCAACTGAAATATGTGCAACACTAGACCTACTTTTGCAACATATAAACAAAACACTTGCAACGTACGTTTAAAAACAGATGAAACATACATTTGAAACATGCGTATATAGTCATAGCAACATATGCAACATCCATCTGAAATGCCTTGAAACATATGCTTGAAACATGCAACATCTAGATGAAACGCTTTAAACATACGTATGAAACACTTAAAACACAGGCTTGCAACATATATGTATATAGCCATTGCAATATATGCAACATCCTAGATCTACTTTTGCAACATCCAGATGAAACACTTGAAACATTAGTCTAAAACACTTAAAACATGGCGGCGGCGGCGGCCACAGCCTATATGATGGGGAACTACAGTAGGCAACAAGCTCCAGGATCAGGGTGGACGTCGAGAACAACGGCCCAGCATACACCCATGCGCAGCGCAGGTGCAGGCCTCTCCTTCGTGTTGCGGTCTCTTCGGCGTCGGCTGCGGGCGACAATGCCAGTCCTTTCGAGAGCCCTTAGGCGAACTCATCGCGATGGGCCCTTAAGACCATATGTAAAATTACGTATAACATATAGACGCTAATTTTATTTTTAGAGCAAAAATAATCCAATGATATATTTTTAAATTTAACAACATGCTTGATAATTTACCTGGCTCCGATGATCCATAGAGCCTGATCAGAGGGGTGAGACCATCTGTGACTCTGGGTGTTCGGCAAATGGTTTTTGCGGCTAATGTTATTTTGTTGTGAGAGAAAAACACTGTACTATGACTGATAAGCCGGGCTGATAAGTTCAAGCGAATAGGGCGGCGTCTGCTGGTCTCAGTCATCGCCTCGTCAGGCGTCGTCGTCGAGCCTGATGGCTGATGCCCTGATCTCACCGATCACCGCGCCGTCTCCGGTCGTGGTCTCGGTTCGTCGGCCGCGGTGCCTTGTGGAGTCATGGGAAACCAGGAGTCGAACCGAAGCCACCTTATGGTTGGGTCATAGGGAGTATGGGGAGTCGCTTGGAGTCTGACGTCTACCTTCTTGGGCCAGCTGTATGATGCTTAGGCTTTTTTTTTTTTTTGCTCCCATTTGATTATTTTGCTAATATATTAAGAGTTTAAGACTATAGGGGCTGGGGTTTGTATACCAAGGCTAGGGTCCCTCGCTCGCCTGGGCCCTCAGCGGTCGCACCCGGTGCACCTCCCTAGGGCCCACACTCGCGGGAGACGATGTCCGAACTGTCCTCCTTCTCAACAGCTTATAGGCTTTTCTCCCTGCTTCTCTAGGCTGTTGTTTAGAGAGTCCTCTCTATTTAGCTCTTGGCTAACTCCTCTGTAAGTTCTGTGTCTTGTATCCTTCCTTTTATTTAATATATTTGGTGCGGTGCTGGGGAGCGTTTGCTTCACAGTTTTTTTTCAAAAAAAAAAGTATTGGTGGTGCAGTGAACATTGTGGCCTTGCCGGGCAAGGCAGACTGGGTTCCGGCAGGGGATGCGACGTGGCGCAACGCAGGATGGGAGCGCGTGGAGGGGGATGGCCGCGGCGGCACCTGGAGTACGGCGGGTGAACAGCGGCACAACGCGAGACCGAGTCAGGAATTTTTTTATGAAAGAGACGGGCGAGGCGGAGTTTTTGAGAGAGGTAGGCGAGACGAAGTGGAAAGCCACGTCTGGACCGGACGGACACCGCGTCTAAGCGTTTCCCTGTTAGGTACCACCGGATTACTTGTCATTTTTTCTGTACTGCTGGATGCCTGCATGCTACGGCGGCAAAGTGGCATATGCCTAGTTTTGCTAAACTTTATTGCTAGCATTTATTTTTGGAAAAAAAAAATACTGGGGCGACACAGGGGTTTGTTTTCTTCCATGGAGGATTAGAGATTGAGAGCCTTGGGCCCAAGGCTAGCCCATTTAAGTTTGCAGGTACGCAGTTATGCTGCACTTTTGTTTGAATTTTCTAGAGTTAAATGCTTGAATCTTTTAATCGTCCCATTCTAATTTCGTTGGATTGAAAGGTTTAATCTGAATGAAATTGTCCTTCGTTAACGTTCATCCGAAAGAAGTGTTTAATCTGAAAGATCAAGCTCTGCCTGTCTGAACAAACCTTTATACATTTGGGTGTATTAACATTGGTAAATAAAAACAAACAAGTGAATACAGTATATACTAGTGTATTAGAAGCAGCAATGCTTGTGTAAAGAAAAGCGAGACACACTTAACAATGATGATCAGTATACATGTTTATTAGCGAAAACCTTAAAAAAAGCAACTATAGCAGTATTCGTCATCGTCCTACTGGAACAAGGAGACACCTGAGCATATTCAGAGATAGTTAAGGCTCTCACGGCTCGGCCATGTCCTTGGCGAACTCGCCGTCCTGAGCACAGCCGTCGACCACCACGGAGACCGGCACCTCGTCAGCGTTGCTCATGTGGTGCTGCTGGACCACGAGCACCGACGACGTCACCCCGTGGCCGGACGACGCGAGCGCGTCGCCGATGGGGCCGAGCTCCGGGTGCTCTGCCGGGCGGACGGCGAGCTGCGACACCATCGGGGATGGCAGCCGGCCCTTGCCGACGACGACTAGGCCGTACTCCCTGCTCTTCCCGATCGACACCACTTCCTCGATCACGTTGCCGACCACCACCCGCTCCTCGAACCGCACCAGGGAGCCCATCCTCTGCCGGAACTCTGCCACCGCCGCCTCGTCCAGCTCCTGCACGCACGCACCATTAATTGTTCATGCAACAACAAAACAAAATGCCATCTTGTCCGATCATGAGAACTTCAGAAGTGTGTGTTTGTGATGGCAACGCGAGTCAATGTAACTTGCCTTCTCCTTGCCGGCGTCGACGACGGCCGTGGAGAACGTGTAGCTCCGGTCGGCGTTCTTGGTGTGAGATGGGCGCAGCGTGACCTCGGACTGCTCCTCGCTGCCGTCCTTGCCGTCGACGAACCGCACGACGGTGACCTGCACGCCGGGGTGCTCGGCCATCCTCCCGGCGAGCTCAAGGGCCTCCCTGTCCTCAGGCCCGCCGAAGAACACGACGCAGACGCCGTGCGCCACCTGCTCCGAGCTGACCTGCTCGCCGCCGCCGAAGCCGCGGTCGACGAGGACGGCGACGGAGCAGGGCGCCTCGCGGAGGATCCGGCGGTTGACGGCGCGCCACTCGGGCCCGAGGTTCTCGACGTCCTCGCCGCCGCCGCCGCTGCGGCCCGTGTGGCGCTTGTGGAACGGCAGGACGACGAGGGAGACGCGCTTGTCCTCGGCGACTGCCGCGACGTCGTCGTGCAAGGTGTCGAGCGCCGACACGGCGGTCATAGCGCGGACGTGGACGTGGCCGAGCTGCGCGGACGTGTCGAAGGCCACGTCCACCTGATCGTGCGGATGTAGAGCTTGACGTGGCGGCGCGGTTGCGTGTGCCCGCGGATGGTCTCGATGAGGTTGATCACCGCGGGCACGTCCTGCCCGCCGTGGATGCAGGCCAGCACGTGCAGCTCCATTGCAGCGGACGGTGAGGACGGCGCGGAGGGGTCGGGGCCCTGGAGCTTGCGGTGATGCAGACGCCTGCGGCCGATTGCGCGCGCGGGCTTGTAGATGGGGCCATCACCGTGGGCGTGGTGATGAAGGTGGTCACCAGCGCCATGAGCACCAGGATGGCGAACGTCTCCTCGTTCAGAACCTGCAGACCGCATCCACGACCAGGATGGTTGAAGGGAGTAGTTAAAAAATTTCACATGTCTATTCATCATGTTCTTTACGTAATAAACCATTAAATAATTATTAAACATTGAATATTGAGTGTTGAATTAATATGAATGTAGCTGTGAGTATGTTGATCGATTTGGTGAACATTAAATAATTGATACAGAGACATACTCCGTATTCTCTTAGATTCTATATATGTATTTAATTATTTGTGTATAATTTTTTTTTCTTACTTAAATGTTTCTATGCATAATTACATAAAGATTTTCAAGTTTTTTTTATAAAAGGTCACTAAATAAAATAACCTTAGCTCCCTATTTATAACATTGAATGCTAAAGGCACAGCACCACAACCCACAACCCACAGTCTGGGTGGGTTGGGCCATTTTCTAAATAATGTAGTACCCCACTTGGGCCTTGGTAGCCACCAGCCCGCCACGTTACGCAGTGGCTGAGCCAGCCAAAACCCTTTTGGCTCTCGTCCAGGCTCATCGCCGTCATCGGAACAAAACTCAGCACCTTCCCCACCGTCATCTGGTGTCTGGACCCTCCCCTTTCACCTGGCCTCAACCTATGATTCCAACACGGCAACGTGCGCCCCTCACCCTGCCCCTTAGTCTTGGATCTCATCTCAGTACCAACCTAGTAACGGTCGCATGGTTCTTCTTCTTCTTCTTCTTCTTCTTGGGGACGAGTTGGATGTGATTGTTATGGACCCACAGGGTTTAGGTCAATTGATGCTGCCTCTAAGGCTAGTAATGTCGTAATGCGAATTGCGAAATGCTGGTCCATGGTAGTAATGGGGTCTTGTGCGGATAGCAGCCAAAGCCGAGGTCCAATGGCTACTGGATGCGGGGGTGATTCAACCCGGTAAAATACCCCCAATAACTATCAAATGTCGTCCTTATAAAAAAGAAGAACGACAAATGGAGAATGTGTGTTGATTTCACCGGTCTCAACAAGGCATGTCCAAAGGACAATGTAACTTGCCTTCTCCTTGCCGGCGTCGACGACGGCCGTGGAGAACGTGTAGCTCTGGTCGGCGTTCTTGGTGTGAGATGGGCGCAGCATGACCTCGGACTGCTCCTCGCTACCGTCCTTGCCGTCGACGAACCGCACGACGGTGACCTGCACGCCGGGGTGCTCGGCCATCCTCCCGGCGAGCTCGAGGGCCTCCCTGTCGTCTAGTCCGCTGAAGAACACGACGGAGACGCCGTGCGCCACCTGCTCCGAGCTAACCTGCTCGTCGCCGCCGAAGCCGAGGACGGCGACGGATCAGGGCGCCTCGCGGAGGATCCGGCGGTTGTCAGCTCGCCACTCGGGACCGAGGTTCTCGACGTCGTCGCTGCCGTGACCTGTGGCGCTTGTGGAACGGCAGGACGACGAGGGAGACGCGCTTGACCTTGGCGACGGCGGCGTGCATGGTGTGGAGCGCGAACACGGCGGTCATGGTGCGGACGTGGACGTGGCCGAGCTGCGCGTACGTGTCGAAGGCCACGTCCACCTGGTCGTGCGGCTAACCCGCGCGGCGCGGGCGCATGAACGGCAGCCCGTTCCGGCGCGCGCCATGAGGATGGAGGAGGTGCGCTCCGTCAGCTCACATGTTAGATATTCCACTACCACCTTGTGTGAACACAATAAGGGAAGGCGGCGCCGAAAAGAGCTCCCTGCTATGATACTATAGCCGCTGCAGGTGCGGGCGCCACACGGCTCACCTGTAGCACTGTAGGCACATGCAGTGGCCAGCGCAGAGTCAGCCCTATATGTTATCTATTCACTGTTGCAGCAGGACAACCGTACTGGCACTAGAAGGATAGAGTTGTATAAATAGGCTACCACGGCAACTCAGTAAAGAGAGTTTAGATTTTTCATCTCCCATACAGGGCTTCGGCCAACGCTGGTGTCTTGTATTGTGTATGTATGCTCTGTTCTCCCTTCTTCTTTGAGCTCTAGCTATAGTGTGTGTGGTCGGACAACGCCTGTTCATGGTCGGCACGGCTAGTGGGTGCTCGGCAACACTAGCGGGTGTTAGACAAGATCAGTGAGTGGGTAACTCACCTGAGCCGGTGATCCTATGGGCCAACAAGTGGTATCAGAGCCGTACAAGCGCCGTCGCTAGACTAACCGCTAGTGATGACGGACGGTTAGGAAGTGGACGACGGCTGTGGCACTGCTGTGGCTGCCCAACCACGTGAAGAGGTCATTGTTCGAACGGTGCGGGAGGTCAGCGGCACCAGTTGGCCGATGCTGACTCGCACCAACTATGGAGAGTGGTCAGTAACCATAAAGGTTAAGCTCAGAGCCCGACGGCTCTGGAATGCTGTTGACAAGGGCACCGATAATGAAGAAGATGATATGTCAGCGTTGGAGGCTATCCTCGCTGCTGTACCGGTGGAGTACAGGGAGCCGTTGGGGGCGAAGACCTCTGCTAAGGAGGCGTGGGAGGCTATTGCGGCGTTGCGCGTCGGTTCCGACCGAGCAAAGAAGGCGACGGCTCAGCTTCTGAAGTAGGAGTACGCCAACCTCAAGTTCAAGAATGGTGAAATGGTAGAGGATTTCTCCCTCTGCCTACAGACGCTCATCAGCAAGCTGAAGAGCCACGGCGTCACCATCGACGAAGATGAGGTGATCTCCAAGTACCTCCACTCCGTGTCGGCAAAATACATCCAGATCGCTCTCTCCATAGAGACGATGCTGGACTTGTCCACCCTCACCATCAAGGATGTGACAGACCATCTGCGGGTGGTGGACGAGCGCCTGGAGCAGGCGACAACAACGAAGGATAGCGGGAAACTCCTGCTGATAGAGGAGGAGCGGGCTGCTCGGAGGAGCTCTGGGAAGGCAGCCTGCTCTAGCCGTGGTGGCGATGGCAAGCGTCGAGGCAGGGCTTCTTTCGAAAAGAAGAAGCAGGTCAACCCCAATGCATGTCGGTGCTGCGGGAAGATGGGCCATTGGGCACGGGAGTGCCCAAACCGCAAGCAGGAGAAGAAGGCCGAGGCTCATCTGGCGCAAGCCAGTGATGAGGATGAGGCTACTATCCTGATGGCGAAGTTCTGTGCACTGCACGACGTCGAGGATGAGGAGAAGGTGGAGATGATGGCGGTGGAAGGGTCTGGGAAGGCCCTAAAGGCTGTCAACATCGATGAACCGCACGCCCAAGGTCACCTCGAACGTGTGGGCGCCGACCAGGAGCAGCGGTGGTATCTAGACTCTGGTGCCAGCAACCACATGACGGGCTCCAAGAAAGCCTTCTCCGAGCTCGACGACGATGTTACCGGTAAGGTGAAGTTTGATGACGGCTCAAGGATGGCAATCCAAGGGTACGGCACCATCATCTTTAGGTGCCAGAACGGGGAGCACCGTGCGCTAACGGATGTATATTATATCCCGCAGCTGCGCTCGAGCATCATCAACATTGGGCAGCTGGATGAGCGCGGTAGCGAGGTACTGATCAAGGACGGTGTCCTTAGGATCAGGGACTGGGAGCAGAGACTTCTTGCCAAGGTGAAGAGGTCCTAGAACCAGTTGTACCTGCTCGACCTGAAGGTAGAGCAGCTGGTGTGCCTAGCGGCAAGGCATACCGAGGAGCCGTGGCTATGGCATGCTCGGTTCGGACATCTTAGCTTCGACGCGCTTGGTCGGCTAGAGAAGATGGTCCGAGGGCTACTCCACATCATGTACAGAGGCGAGCTGTGTGACAGCTGCTTGGTCGGGAAGCAGAGGAGGTTGCCGTTCCCAAAGGCGGCAAAATATCGCGCGTTGGATGCTCTCGAGCTCATCCACGGCGATCTCTGCGGGCCGATCATGCCAGCTTCAGGCGGTGGTCGGTGGTACTTCCTCCTGCTCGTGGATGATTGTAGTCGCTACATGTGGCTGCAACTCCTAATGAGCAAGGACAAAGCGATGGCGGTGATCAAGAAGTTCAAGACGCGCGTGGAGGCCGAGAGCAGCAAGAAGCTTCGCACGCTGAGGACTGATCGCGGCGGCGAATTCACTTCGGTGGAGTTCGCTACGTACTATGTGAAACAAGGTGTGGTGTGACACCACACCACGCCGTATTTGCCACAACAGAATGGCGTGGTGGAGCGACGGAACTAGATGGTGGTCGGCATGGCTCGATCCATGATGAAGGCCAAGGGAATGCCGACAAGGTTCTGGGGAGAGGCGGTGACCATGGTGGTGTTCATCCTCAACCACACTCCAACCAAGGCCCTAATGGGCAAAACACCATTCGAGGCTTGGTATGGGCAGAAGCCGAGCGTGTCCTTCCTCCGGACATTCGGCTGCATCGGCCACGTCAGGAAGACAAAGCTGAACCTCACCAATCTAGAGGACAGGAGCACACCAATAGTGTTCCTAGGCTACGTGGAGGGTACCAAGGCGTACCGACTCTATGACCCACGCGGAGACAAGGTGATTATCTCGCGCGATGTCGTGTTCGACGAGAAGGCCGCTTGGGACTAGAGTAGTCCGAGCACTGGGGAAGCAGGAGGCTTCACCACCACCTTCGTCATCGAGCACTTGGTCATCCACGGGAGTGGAGACGCTAGGGCAGAGGTGCCGAGCACTCCGGTAGTAGAGCCGAGCACTCCTGGGGCAGTGCCGAGCACTTCGGGAGGGATGCCGAGCACTTCTGAAGGGATGCCGTGCACGCTAGGAGTGGTGCCAGGAGGTTCTGTAGTGGCAGCGACCACTTTAGGATGGGTGTCGAGTACTCCCGTGGTGGAGCCAAGACGTCTTGCAGTGGTGCCGACCACTCCAAGGCTGAGGCTAAACACTTCTGCAGTCGTGCTGAGCACTACAAGAGTTGAGACGAGCTGTCCAGGTGCTCCGCCGAGCACTCAGGCGAAACAGGGAACTCCATCAATGCCGATCGAGTTCGCCTCACCTCCAAGTGACATCATTGAGTTCGTGGACACCTACCACGAAGATGAGGAGGTGCGGTTCTGTAGGCTGGACGACATCATCGGCGGCATAGGTCCCTCAGGCTTGGCGGGTAGGCTGCTCAACGACCCAGAGCTGCTACTCGTCAGTGCTGAGGAACCACCCACGTTCACGCTAGCCGAGCGCGATAGAAACTGGCGACAGGCGATGCTGGAGGAGATGAAGGCGATCGAGGAAAACGAGACTTGGCAGCTCGTCGATCCACCTCCAGGATGCCGTCCGATCAGCTTGAAGAGGGTGTACAAGGTCAAGCAGGACGAGCACGGTGCCGTTGTCAAGCACAAGGCGCGTCTCGTGGCCCAAGGCTTTGTACAGCGCGAGGGCATCGACTTCGAGGAGGTCTTTACGCCGGTAGCGCGCATGGAGCCGGTTTGTTTGCTACTAGCCTTGGCAGCAGCAAAGGACTGACGCATCCATCACTTGGATGTTAAATCGGCCTTCCTCAACGGCGAGCTGACGGAAACGGTCTTCGTCAGGCAACCTCCAGGCTTCGCCGTCAAGGGAGAGGAGCACAGGGTGCTCCGACTGCGCAAGGTGCTCTACGGGCTGCGGCAAGCCCCACGAGCATGGAACACCAAGCTTGACGCCACGCTGAGCGAGCTTGGGTTCACAAGGTGCGCAACTGAGCACGCGCTCTACACACGGCGACGGGGGAAGGAAGAGCTCGTCGTCGGCGTGTATGTGGACAACTTGATCGTCACCGGTGCGCGTGCGGAGGACATCAGCAGCTTCAAACACGAGATGGTGGCTCGTTTCTGAATGAGCGATCTTGGGGCGCTCACCTACTACCTCGGCATCGAGGTGAGACAGGGGAGGGAGGCATTCACGCTCAGGCAGAGCGCGTACGCCTCGAAGCTGTTGGAGCAGAGCGGCATGGCTGAGTGCAAGCCATGCGTGACTCCAATGGAGGAGCGGCTGAAGCTGACGAAGGCTAGCACCGCGGCGAAGGTGGATGCAACACTCTACCAGAGCATCGTCGATGGTCTGTGCTACCTAGTCCACACGAGGCCGGACATCGTGTTCGCCGTGGGCTACGTCAGTCGCTTCATGGAGGATCCTAGAGAGAATCACTGGGCTGCACTAAAGCGGCTACTACGCTACATCAAGGGGACGATGGATCACGGGATCGTCTTTCCTAAGACCGGCGGGAGTAGGTTGTAGCTCACTATCTTTAGCGATGCAAACATGGTGGGGGATATCGACGGATGATGGAGCACCTCTGGCATGCTCGTCTTCCTCGGGTCGGCTCCAATATCATGGTTGTCGCTGAAACAGAAAGTGGTGGCGTTTTCTACGTGTGAGGCAGAGTACGTAGCGACGGCCACTGCGGCGTGCAAAGTTGTGTGGCTGCGCCGGTTGCTGGGCGAGCTGACCGGCGTAGAAGCTCACCCACTAGCACTGATGGTGGACAACTAGCCCGCCATTGTCCTTACAAAGAATCCGGTTCTGCACGACCGGAGTAAACACATCGACGTGAAGTTCCACTTCCTCAGGGACTGTGTTGAT